AATAAGGGATTTTGGAAAATTTTAGAACTGGTAGGAAATAATGGAAATTATGGAAAAAAAAGATGTGTATTTAGGTAATTTATCCTTCTTTTAAACTATTTTAGTATGTAATAAAATTATTATTTTCTTTCTTATGGCTATAATATAATATAACAAATTGAAAAAGAAAAGTTTTTTAAAAAATACTTTGACAAGATTTCTCATATTTCAATTTGAGTTACATATCAACCCAATTTTTAATGGATTTAAATGGTGAGCTAATAAATGGATGACTGAGTCAGTCCTCAAACTTAAATAGATTGTGCGGCTTGAACGGAATGAGTTTGATTTTGCCCACAACTCAACGTAATCCTAGTTAGTACCCCCTAAATTTGCATCATTAATTAATCCCTTAACTCCAAGCAACGGGGACTCTCTATAAAAATATTACTAGTTCATACATCTTAATTAATTAAGTCTTGCTTATGAAACTCTAGCTATTCAGTAATTAATTAACACAATGCTCAATAACAGTAACATTTGTGCTAATCAGCTAATAGAAGCTGAAGCTCAAAGTTGGGATCACATTTTGAGTTATTTGCGTCCATCATGTATAAAATGTGCGATTCAATTAGGAATTCCTGATATCCTTCACAAAAATCCCAATCCAATAATGTCTCTTTCTAACCTTATTGCCGCTTTGCCAAATTTGAATCCTTCAAAAATTACCTTTATCCCGATTCTAATGAGAGTTTTAGTTGATTTTGGCCTTTTCAACTACCACCAACAACAAGGAGACGGCTATTCACTCACTAGTGTTGGCCGTCTCCTTGTTGAAAATGACCTCTCTGCCAAGAGGTCATTTTTCCTTTTCGCCCAACATCTCGTTGTGCTGAACACAGCGGCTTACATGGGTGATTGGTTACGGGACGATCTCTCTACTGCCTTTGAAACTGCATATGGGAAATCCCATTGGGATTATTGCGCTGAAGAACCAGAGTTCAATGGTGTATTCAACGATGCAATGGCTGGTGATTCGAGATTGATCTCTAATTTGTTGATTTCTGATTGTTGTGCGGGTGTTTTTGAGGGATTGACGTCATTGGTGGACATCGGAGGTGGCACCGGCGCTGTGGCGATGGCTATTGCCGGAGCTTTTCAGAGGTTGAAATGCATTGTGCTTGATCTCCCTCACGTCATAGGTGATCGAAAGGGATCTGGGAATTTGGAGTTTGTTGCTGGGAATATGTTTGATAAAATTCCTCATGCTAATGCAATCTTACTCAAGGTACATACACCCGTTTAATCCTAAATGTAAATATTCCTAATTATTTACTAATAAATTAATTGTTATTTCATAGTGGATTTTGCACAATTGGAGTGATGAGAATTGTGTGAAGTTACTGAAGAAATGTAAAGAGTCAATTCCGAGCAAAGAAAACGGAGGAAAAGTGATAATCATAGACATGGTAATGGAGGATAATTGTAGCAATGGGCAACTTGTTCAATCACAACACTTGATGGACTTATTAATGAGGATTACTCATGCTTCCAAAGAGAGAACTGAAAAGGAATGGGAAAAACTCTTCTTAGATGCTGGTTTTAGTGGATATAAAATAATTACTTCTCTTGGATTAAGGTCTCTAATTGAAATTTATCCCTAAATAAGGAGTACATGTTTTCCCTATGTTACACATTATATGTGTTTTAGGGAACATGATTAACTGACAAAATTTGACATGCACTTAGCTCCTTCTGAAGAATGTCAACCTCAATTATCACTATATTATCCCTCCCCTTAAACTATATATTTACTACTTTTAATAAAGATTGTTCTGAAATAACTTTGGCAAGAACAATCACTTCTTGTAATCGAATTTTTACTTATCGTTTACGTAGAAAAAAAGAAGATGTTTGGAGTTGTTACGTTACTCTTACTCCTTCAATTTTTCCTTTTGTCTAAAGTATAAAGTATACGAAGCACTTATGTACATGCATGGGCCAAACACACAACGCATTCCTAGAGCTTTCTAAACTATCAGAGACAGTCACCTACAATAATCAGTTTACCTACGCAATATTGTAGAGACACGTTCAACTCTACGTGTTGGTTGAACAATTTCGAAGTAGCAAGATGAGTGAACGAATGCACGGTAAGTAGTAGTGAATATTTTTTTCATGGCACCGGCAGAAAATTATTTTCTTATTATAGAAAGCGATCAGTTTTATTTTATCTTGTTCCGTTGTTCGGGCTTGGAAAAGCTTCCTTTTTCAATTCGAGAAGTGGAGGAGCCTATGTAGAAGAGGTTGTAGTAAAGCACCATCTTCATTCCTCTTTTATGATGATGAATGGAACTGGCAAATATTTACTAGCAATTTATATTATAAACGGATTCAGAATTTGAATTTAAAAATTTTATTATAATTTTTTCATAAACACAAAAATAATTAGATTCACAGATATTTATATATATATTCAGTTCACCCTAAATTCGGGTATGCCTCATATTTATATCAAAACAAAAGATTAAGGTATTAAAGTAAAAATACATATTATCTAATCATGATTAACTAATAACTACAAATGAATTTGTAAATGAAAGACACGTATCTCGTTGGTTTGATGCAAAACTAATGTTATTTGGATATTGATCAGCTTGGAATTTGTTGTTGGGACTGTGATAAAATTCTCCTGCTAATACAATCTTACTCAAGGTACTTTTTCTAGCTAGTTATTTTAATCAATTTTCAGGGAGTTAATTTAGATATTGTCATTACTTAAATTTTATATTTTTTTATTATATAGAGAATTATAACATTAATAACTTTAAAATATAAATAAAAAATTTGATTGATTCTTAAAATTTTATCGGTGTCACATAAATTGAGATAGAGAAAGTGACCTAAGAAGTACTATAAATCACAATAATTAGCAACTTGATATTTAAAAATCGTATAAAAATTTGAATGACTCTCTAAATTTCATTTGTGTCGCATAAACTGAAACAGAAAGAATAACATATATTAAGCATGTGCTGACATAGACTCTTGTACAATCTAGTTTAAGATACAAAGCTTTGTAACCCAATTAAACTATAGGTATTTATAATTTGTTGTTATACTGTTATATTCCTTTTGTTTAATAATTTCCTTCAATGAATTTTTGAACAATAAGATTAAGCGTGTGCTAATTATATAACAACAAGGGGTGTTTGTTAGTTTGTTAAAATTATGTATGGATTAGTTTTGAATCAATTTAGGTAACACGTCCAAGTTATATGGTCAAAGTAACACTAATTAAAAAAATTAGAGGCTATCTATTTGTTGGAATCTTTATTGAACCTTTCGAATCCAACTTGAAATCACATAGCATAATACTCCTGTTAAATGAATTTTTCAGATTTTTTTCATAATTTAAAAGAAATAAATTATTCAAATCAAAAGTTTAAGAAGATTGTTGGGATTTTATTTCCCCTCTATATTATCCTTTATTAAATGAGGTTTCTAATTACTTTACATTTTCTAGAATAATAATTTGAGAATACTTAAAAAAAATAGTGAATTATTAACATTTAATTCATGAATGTCCTTAAAATAAAGGGTTGGATAGAGATTTCCAACCGCCAGTACCCGACTAACAAAAACAAGGCATGTTCCATACTCTAAACTAAAGTAATTAAACTATTTTTTAAAGAAATATATATACCCTAATATTTACTTAAAATAAACTACTATTATCTTCGTCCATTTTTAATTGTCATAGTTTCTTTTTTTAGAGTCAAGCGATAATAATTTTGACTAATATTTTACGATATATTTTTTCATCATATTAATATGCAAAAAAATGTAATATATAGTACTTTTCGTATAGTTTTTGAATATCTAGATTTTTTGTTAAAAAAAATCAAATTAATGTAATCTAATTTAATTTTAAAAATTAATCAAATTAACTTTAAAAAAACGCAACATAACAATTAAAAATGGACAGAGAGAGAACATGAAAAAAGTATAGTAATTACAAATCCTCTTGGTACAATAAATTCAATGTTGCATGAATGTTAGATGCTAAATTCGAGGGTTGGGAAAATTGATAGTCCAAAAGTCAAATCCCCTTTGGAATATTCAATATTTTTCTAAAAAATACTCTAATAATTTGTACACATATCTTTAAGTCTAATTGGTTAAAATTAGGAATGACGATAAAACGGAACAGAACAAAGCGGCGCAATGCAAAGCCTTAATGGGGCAGGGCAGCGGAGTATCAAAATAGGGCGGGGTAGAGTAGAACAAAACTCAATAAATAAATTTAATGGGACAGGACATAAAACGGATCAAAAAAAATTTAACAGCAAATCATAAAATAAAGTAGACAATTTTCCTAAAACGTTAAAAGCCATAAAATACTTCAACTCTTTAAATAACAATAATTAAATGTGAAATGTGATAGTAACCTGCATTTTCCCTATCTTATCCTATAAAATATCCCTTTTTCCTTTGCCATTATTAATCTCATTGACTCTTTTTACATATTGATGAACTTTAAACTAAGTACTCATTCATATATAACATTTTCACCTATCTAGTTCCTTTCGGTATAATTAAAGTTAGATGCACTTTTCGGTACAAATTTGAATTTAGTTGGACTTAAAAAAAATGTAAGACTATATGTTATTATAAGTTGTAATTTAACTTCATTTTAAGTATAGTTTTTTAAAAATTTTAAGTAAAAATCAGCAACTGTTATTTATGATGTTATTTTAAAAGGGAAAAAGGTCAAAATATACCCATGTGTTGTATGATTTAGAACAATTTTTTTCTTTTAACTAAAGTGTGTTTTATTCTATATTGTAGGGTTGGTACTTGTTATTAATTGCTATGCAACTCAACCTAATCCTAACTTTGCATCATTAATTAATCCCTCTACAACAAGCAACTGTGACTCTCTATAAAAGTACGTACGAATTCATACATCTTAATTAATTAACGCAGCATTTCTTATGAAACTCTTTCTAGTTATTAATTGACACAATGCTCAATAACAACAACATTTGTGCTAATCAGCTAATAGAAGCTGAAGCTCAAAGTTGGGATCACATTTTGAGTTATTTGCGTCCTTCATGTATAAAATGCGCAATTCAATTAAGAATTCCTGATATTCTTCACAAAAATGTCAATCCAATCATGTCTCTTTCTGACCTTATTGCCGCTTTGCCAAATTTGAATCCTTCAAAAACTACATTTATCCCCATTTTAATGCGAGTTTTAGTTGATTTTGGTCTTTTCAAGTACCACCAACACCAACAACAAGGAGACGGCTATTCACTCACCAGTGTTGGCCGTCTCCTTGTTGAAAATGACCTCTCTGGCAAGAGGTCATTTTTCCTTTTCGCCCAGCATCCCGTTGTGCTGAACACGGCTTCTTCCGTTGGCGATTGGTTACGGGACGATCTCCTCACCGCCTTTGAAACGGCGCATGGGAAATCCCATTGGGATTATTGCGGTGAAGAGCCGGAGTTTAATGGTGTTTTCAATGATGCTATGGCTGGCGATTCGAGATTGATCTCCAATTTGTTGATTACTGATTGTTGTGCCGGTGTTTTTGAGGGCTTGTCGTCATTGGTGGATATCGGAGGTGGCACCGGCGCTGTGGCGATGTCTATTGCCGAAGCTTTTCCGAGCTTGAAATGTATTGTGCTTGATCTCCCTCATGTTATAGGCGATCGAAAGGGATCTGGAAACTTGGAGTTTGTTTAATAAAATTCCTCATGCTAATGCAATCTTACTCAAGGTACGTATTTTTCTAATTTTGTCAAAAATCGTACTTGGAAATAAGCAGATCATAGATAAGTTTTTTCATGCCTCGACTCTCCCTTGGTTCGTTCGGGAATCATGGTAGTCTTTTCATGAAGATTATTGGAAACGGAAATGTGTCTGGGGTTAAGAACAACAAGACTTGTTGGAAATGTTTTCGATAATATTTTGATGCAAATTGTGAAAATTTGAGCCTTTTAGTAGTGTTATTATATTTTATCTAGTAGAAATTACAATTTTTTATTACGTTATAATAACTGAATTTATAACATGAAAATTGCATACAACCTTATAACCCACTTTAGTTTAAATTTGTCACCATAATGGCTAAATTTGATGAATCTATTGTTATAAGTAGGTAAAGTTTTGCGACATAATGTAACTACTATAGCGAGTAAAGTTTAGTTACTTTAATATGACAAGAATTTATAATGTTACTATTATAATGGAAATATTCCTAACTATTTACTTATTAATTGTTTTTATAATAGTGGATTTTGCACAATTGGGATGATGGAGATTGTGTGACGTTATTGAAGAAATGCAAAGAGTCAATTCCGAGTAAGGAAAAAGGAGGAAAAGTGATAATCATAGACATAGTAATGGAGGATAATTGTAGCAATGATCAACTTGTTCAATCACAACACTTGATGGACTTATTAATGAGGATTACTTATGCTTCCAAAGAGAGAACTGAGAAGGAATGGGAAAAGCTATTCTTGGATGCTGGTTTTAGTGGATATAAAATAATAACCTCTCTTGGATTAAGGTCTTTAATTGAAATTTATCCTTAAAAAAAATTGTCTATATTCACTATTAAAAAACTAAAATTAGCTACAAACATCATCGCTGGTCTGCTTCTATTTCGCTCGTAGCTAATAGAAATTCGTCACTAAATAGAATTAGCGATGAATTTTGTTGTTTAGCTACAAACTTTGTCAGTCGCTAAATTGAGTTTTTTTTTAGTTATTTTAATTTAAGTTTCTACCAGAAATAACTTTCTCCGTTTGGAGTCTCATTGATCCAAGAGAATGGAGGTTAATTTATATGTAATAATATTAGTGCATCACTATGCTTCTCCTATGTCACTTTCTAAAAATGTTGTAGCTTGTTATATATAGGTTCTTCAATTATTATTTTCTTATGTTTGTTGTAGCAAAATTATATAGCATACGAAGCACTAATGTACCGTGGGCTAAAAACAGTAAATAGCATATCATATGTTGTCCCAAACAATTCTTTTTTTTAACATTAACAGTTAAAGAGTAGTGTGAAAATACACGTGAGCTAATAGGGAGTCCGGAGTCAAAAGGGTAACTTTTTTCCTCTAAAAAATATAAACGGTATATCAATTTTTATTTTAACCAAAACGGCAAAATCGCTTGAGAGAGCGATCGCCGTGTACGCCGTTAAAAACTTTATTTAAAATCCAGCAGCGATTTTGTCCAAATTTTTTTATTTTTTTGTAAAATCAACAGTGTTATCCTTAAAAAAAAAAAAAAACTTAAATCGCTGCTGAAGCAGCGTTTCTTCAAAAAAAAAAAAAAAAAATCTCCAACTTGAACTCGCTGCAATGGCAGCAATTTTCCAACCCTTTTTTAAAAAAAATCATCTTTGGCTTGGCAGCGATTTTCCTTGATGTTTAAAGAAAAGAAAAATGGATAACGCTGCTGAGGCAGCCGTTTACCAAAAAAAATAATATTAGAAAAATGTTATTGCGGCAGCGATTTTACAAACAATTTTTTTTTTTCTAAGGCAGCGATTTTGAATGAAGTCTTTAACGGCATGCACGACGTTAAAAGATATCACTTCCTAGGTAGCGACTTTGCCGTTTTGGTTAAAAAAAAAATTAGTATACCGTTTATGTTTTTTTGAGGAAAAAAATTGCCCTTTTGGCTCCAGCTAGCTAATAGGTTTTAGAAGTTTTTTATTTTCTAAGATTTTGTATTTAGTTAAATAATATCAGGTAAATTAAAATTTTAAAACATATTTAAGAAATTTAATATGTATTTGAACAAAATTTAAGAAAAAAAAACGGCTATTGCTCACCGTTATCGATCGTCTTATTATTTGAGTGTACGGATAAAATACAATTAAAAAATATAATTATAACAACTAAATTATTTGAGTGAACGGATAAAATACAATTAAAAAATATAATTATAGCAACTAAATTAATACAAAAAATACTTACATTATTTAATTTAATCATGATTAATTGACTATTGAATACGTAGATGAAAGCCAAGTATTTCATGTATTAATTAAGAGTGAATTTATATATTATTTTAGGTAGATATTAATAATACGAAATTAGTTATACATACATTAATTATTCCACATTTTACCCTTGCGTACTACATAAATTACTTCATAACTTATACATACTAGTATACGTGCCCGCGCGTTGCGCATAGATTATTAAAATTTATTTAATTGTTCAAATGTTCAAATATATTACATCATTTTGATTTTATTAAAATATAATTATCATCATATTTTTCATGCAATATACTTAATATCATAAAATTTTATATAACTAAAGGAACAAATCATATAAATGCATGTGCACGATCATCAAATAACATTTTTGAAAAAACTAAATATGATAATTATATATTTCTTATACAAACGTTTCAAAAATATATTATGATTAAAAATAAATAAGAATGAAAGAATTAAGAGAATATGTTGGTACACTCTCTCAAATTAATATATGAGAAAAAATTATTTATTATTTTCTTTCAATAGAGAGATTTTCCGTAAATTAAATAATTTATTCATTTTCAAATTTTTTTCATAATGATTTTAAAATATTTATCTGAATAATAAATTCCTCATGTTAATGGTCAATTTAAAAGTTGTGTACAGAAATACATGACATCTCTTTATTCATTTCATATTGATCAAGTTTCTACGCTTCTACTCCTCTAAGTGTTATCTAAGTAAGCTAAACATTTTTTATATATATAAAAAAGGAAGACCGACTCTTTAATTATAAAAAAAAATTATTTTTGAGTTGAAAAATTGTATATCCACTATAAAAGTTAAATATGTGATAGTTACAACTAATAAGCATTACATTAAGTTATGGAATAGTTTGAAAATTAAGTACCTTAAAAACATGATTTATATTTTAGATTATATAGCCATATACTATGGGAATGTAGTTAATCATTTCCATAAAAATAGGCTCATTAAGAGTTGAGAGATGATATATTTTAAAAACAGTTATTAATTGTTAAAGACAATATTTCTCAAAAGTCTGAAATTTTTTTAATAACAGTTAAAATTATTTTTAATGTTAATTATAAATACTGTTATTTTAACATATTCATTGTTGCCTATATTTTTGTGGAAACAACTAAATGTACTTCAAATTCATTGTTGTCCATATTAGTAATTATTAGATCTAAAAATTTTATTTTATAAAACTTAAATTGTTAAATTTTTTAAATTAATTTTGTGAATTCAATATAAGTTTTGTTTTTAAAAGACTCCATTATGCATGGAACAATTATTTCAGCCACGTATTCATAATTAGTTAATACTTATTTGTAATTAGTTAATACGTATTTTATTAATGAAACAATGCAATCTAAAAATACGAATGTGTCTTAATATTTTGGAAATCAATTATTTTTCTTAATTGTTCTCTCCAAAAGCTTTTGCCCTTTTTGAATGTGTCTGAGATTACGCATGTATGTGTATATTGTGTTGGGGGCAGAGCTTGAACTTTTTTTTTGTTTTTTTTTTTAATTTTTTTTTAATTTGAGTTTGCAGTTTTTATTAAAATAAATTTAATTTTTGTGGTGGTTACTGAGTAAGTTTACACATATTTTTAAATATTAATTAAATTATTATTATTATTATTATTATTATTTTATTTTATAATCTTAAATTGCAATTTCAAACTATTTAATTTTTAGTTATTTATAAACTCATTTTAAAAAGGATAATGAAATTTTTGGAAAAACAGTTACGTTGATTGGTGAAGAATTATCCGTTTGTTTGAATATTTTATCACTAACCACTCCTTTTATTTAGGATAGAAGTGGAAAGTTAATGTTTAGTTAAAATATTTTTTTATTTCTTATTTTTCATTATTATTAAATAAAAATGTGCAATTAGATGGTTCAAATTTTAAAAATACCTTTCCAAAAAAAGGACCACAGCGTTGAGTTTTTTTAGAAAAAATATATTTTTTTTTATTTTTAATTTTCTTTTTAGTGTTTGAAATTTCTATTTTTATTTTTAGAATTCCAACTAATTTTAACAATTTACAAATTTTGTTTTTTTTTTTGGTAGTGCTGACAATAAACATTATAAATTTTTTAAGAGTCCAAAACGTGTTAAAAAATATATAACAATTTTTTTATTTATAAGTTTTATTTTCAATATTTGATGATTGATGTTTTTACTGGTTTATTTTTAAAAAATATTATTTTTAGATTTTAATTTAATTTTTCTTTGTGGTAAGTTTTTTTCTGATTTTTATAATATACAGATAAATAATATATCTATATATAGATTATTATTATTATTATTATTATTAGTATTATTATTATTATTATTATTATTATTATTATTTGTTTTTCTTTATATGAGGAGATTGTGGAAAGATGGTTAAAATTAAAAATATACCTTTCCACAAAAAAGGACCACAACTTTAGAGTGTTTTTTTTAAATAAATACATACACATAATTAATTTTAATTTTTTTATAATCTGATTTAGTGTGGTGCTGACATGTGACACTTTTTCTTCTCCTTTTATATGTGCAGTTAGATGGTTCAAATTTAAAATTTTAATTAAATTATTTCTTTTTTTATTTATATTTTATAATCTTAAATTGCAATTTCAAACTATTTAATTTTTAGTTATTTATAAACTAAATTTAATAAACTTTATTATAACATCTTTTAAAACAATTTTAGAAGTAGAGAGTTAACGTCTGTGGTTAGAATTTTTTTAGTTTTTTCTTTTTAATATTTTATACGTGTAATTTAGTAGAAGTAGATAATGTTAATAAACTTCATTATAACCCCTTTTATATATGCTTTCACTATTTTTTTTGTATAATTTTTTTTAAAATAGCATTCTTTTTCCGTCTATTTTTTAAATACAGATTAAAAAAGATTGATTAAAATTTGTAAATTGTATTTTAATTTTAATTAATAGATTATATAAAATTAATTTTACGTAATTATTAAATTAGTGATCCTAATCTGAAGTTGCATATATATATGAATAAGTATAAAAAAAGTATTAAAAATTTAAAAATAAAACAAAAAGTAATGGACTTATAAAACATATAATTAACTTTCAGATTATTTAAAATATAATATATTTAATTTCTAATATATACATACTTATATGTATAGATTTTCCTGGAAAAAAAATGCTCAATTTTAAAAGTTTTTGACTAATTTTCTACTCGTTGAAAGAGTGAAAGATTAACATTGAAATATGGAGATGATCTTCATGTAATTTTTCAATGTCACTAAGAGATTCATCGTCACTATCTAGGTCACTAATGTTATTTCATGAAACTATCTTCATTGATGTCTTTTGATTTTATGCTTTGATCAATAAACTTACTTTCTTGGTTGCTTCCATTTAAAAAAAAATAAAGATAAAACTTACGTGAATTCATGATTGCTTTAAAAAACTTTCAAGCATATATGCAAAATCTTGTAAATATTCAACCTAAAGATAAATTATTTCACATCTAAATATTATCATACTCAATATTAAAAATAAAAAAATAATCCATAGTCACAACATAATTAAAAAAATAAAAATACATTCATTCATTTTTGAGAGTTTTCAATTTCTTTCATAATTTATTTATTATTTTTTAATCCTCTAT